TAGGTGACGGTCAGGCTTGCGTCCACAAATGAGAGCAGTTTGGGTGATTGGTTCACTTGTTATGGAAAATGCAAGTAATAGGTCACATCCAGTAAGGGGGGCATGTGGTACGACAGTTCATATTGCATGAAGATAATACCACTTTTCAGGGGAGGGAAGCTCCGGGGTGGGTGTAAAAGCTTCAAGCGAAATGGTTCACGCACCCGGGGATTCCCTCCCCTTGCAAAATTGGAATTTCTGTAGCCGACAAGAACTGTCACACCACATGCCCCCCTTTACTGGATGAGACCCCAAGTGATTGCTAAAACCTTGAAATCGTTGCGCACTGACCTATGGCAGAGGAACAGCTATCTGCCGAAGATCTGGATGGTCTGGGTCGAAAATTCCGCCTATGCAAGCAGCGCGCTATGTAATTTCAAGTTCTCTGCAGTTTTTTTTTACTTCCAGTTTACTGTTAGAACGATTCCCATCATTTCCTTAACATGCCCAGTTTGACTCTTAACGCACGCTCGGGCCCCTCTCCTCCACCCCTATTTCCGCCCAATTCATTGGGAACAAAAACCAAAATTTGCCTGGAAAAATGTGAAGCGAAGGCAATGGTGGATTCTTATTCGTGAAGTATACTCTATTTCGGAAGACGAGAAGAAAATCGAGTGCAGACCACACACCATAAGAGACGACGGCCAAGAGAAAAGGCCTTTTTCCTTGGCCGTCGTCTCTTATGGTGTGTGGTCTGCACTCGATTTTCTTCTCGTCTTCCGAAATCGAGGGTACAAGTATGTTTGAGCTCTCTCAAACAGGGGGCCGATTTTGGATATTTCGACAACTCCGTCGCCATACCCGAAAAATGTCGTCGAGCGGAAGAGGAGGGATTGGGGTGGGGGAAGAGAGGGGGAAGTTGGGCTTCAAGAGACCAGATTAAATAAATTTTCAAGAATCTCTAAATTTCTTCGAAAATCTCTCCAATTTCCGTAAAATACTATTTTTATGGTTTGCCACTCACCCCCCCCCCCTCCTCGTCCCTCGCCCGAATGGCCTTCTGCCGCTTGGCCTTCTGTTCCACCCTGCTCCTTGCGGTTGTTTTTACCACCACTTCTGTACGAAGCAGAAGAACTTATTCGTCACCTTGTTTCTCTCTCAGGTGCAATCAAATTGTCGCCATCAATAGTTCCTTCTCTGCTGTCTGTTAAATTGGAGAGGAGTTCATTATTTAGGAAGAATGGGTCCTGAAATTTTCAGTAGTCATACCTGATTCTCACCATAGACCATTTTAGCTCATAAATGTTTTCACTAACTTTTTTTTTTCGAGAACTTATTTCAGTGGAAGCGCTCATAGCCTTTAGGGGGAATTCAAAACAAAGCCATTTAAAACCGCCATGAGGTGACACTGGGGCTAGGCCCAGGAGCGGAGGGGGTGCTATACAAGTAGGGTGGGCACGCCGCATTTTTGAACAGAAATGTATGTAAGTGGGACTGCTGCCCGCTACTATACTGTCACGAGAATCGGGGAATTCGTGAGCCAGGGGGAGTGTAGCCAATCTAGGGGGTGGGGGTGAGGGCAGTCACTTGACATGCGTGAAAAGCTGGGCGTGCCCACCCCACTTGTATAGAGCCGAAGAGGGAAATGCCAAGGAAAACAAGAATTGCGTGCATCCTCTTCCAAAGTCCCTTCCTGGCCTAGTACCAAGTATTACAGCTTGTTCATTAGCTTAAATGACCCCCTCCCCGCTAAGGGCACGAACGTCTTCTATGGATAAAAAAGAAAGCGAATAACGTCGCAAACTTTACTATTATTTTACCAGGATGGTTTAGCAAGGCCTGGTCAGGAAATGACATACCACTTGATCAATATCTTGATTATGGTTAGAATTGCTCATTTAGAGCAGACCAGTACGTGAAAGACGAGTAATAGGAATGAGACTAGTGGTTTTTTGAACAGTTAACTCCTATCAGTGGTATCATATCGCATTCTGAAACTCCCTTGCCAGCTCATGTCATGTGGTAGCTTCGATATGGAGTGTTCATAGTTGGCGATTGTACGAGCGATCAGACGAATAGGTGATTGGGCGAGTGGGCGAGTAGGCGAGTAGGCGATAAGGCGCGTTCATAGTTCGCGACTCCGGAGATTAGGATAGTACGCGACAATGAAAAACATATGTATTGACGGGGAGATTAGGATAGTAGTAGATAGGATAGGATAGTAGTAGATTAGGATAGTGCGCTGACAAGATTAGATATGTATTGATCTATTCGCTTGAAGTCGCCCAATCTACTACTCTCCAGCGATTTCAATCGATACGTATCCAATCTTGTCAGCGCAATCTCCTACTCTACTACTATCCTGTCGCCTACTATCCTAATCTCCCGAGTCGCGAACTATGAACGCGGCCTAAGAGAAGGATGTGTATTGATTCACCGCTCCGCCCATCTAGTGATCGCCTAATCGCACAATATCCTACTCGCCTATTCGCCTACTCGCCTACAACGCTCTATGGGCGGAGCAAACCAATCAATACGTATGTAGTCTTCCCCGCCTAATCGCCTACTCGCCTACACGCCTAATCGCCTAATCTATCGTATATTTTTCATTATAGACTAATCGTCTAATCGCACGTACGATCGCCTACTCTGAACGCAGCAATAGCATCTTCTTTTGGCCGTGTTCTTAGCTAGGACTTTGCGATAATCAGAGAATCCACAAGAAGCACTCACCTAGTGAGCGTTTAGGGAGAAAAGTCGATTTGTGGAATTGGTATTGTGTGCGCATTTCCTGACTTACCAGTTCAGCGCTGCATAAAAACGTGGCCTTATGCTTACAAGGAAAGGTCAGTTGGTTAGTCCTGTCAATCGAAATGAGATGTATACCCACATAGGTGCCTCGAGACGCTGACAAGTTCGGTGGTAAGTTCGAGTCGCTTTCATTCTCTGCAGCACGACTTCCTGGAAGAAGGCATGAAGCAGTAAAGCACATTGGTAGTGATCATAATTCACAGGTGTCGAGAATTTTTTGGCCAGATGATCTCTGGGCACTAACTTTGGCGTCGAATAATGAACTGTTCTCAGGATTGCCCATGAACCTCTACCGACGAGTCGATAAATCGGCTTTGTTATGGTTGCATAGTTCCTTCTGTTCCATCTATGCTCCAGCTGTAGGCGATGCTCGCCTAAATTTGACCCATCAAGGTCATCCTTGGGCTGCTTCGTCCTTTAAGGCAAAATGTTACATAAAACTTTGAATAATGCTCATCTGAAAAGATTTTTTTCAGCTATGTCTCCGTCACTTTGGTTATGATGCTTCGCAAGCAATCGATGCACTGTTAGCTCGAGATGAGAAACTTCCGATGGCGCTTAGACGTCTGGAGGCGGCTGACTTGACCCACAAATTGGCCAATGAACCACCCACGTTGCCAGCGTTATCCTTCCAGAACGATGGTGCGTATTTTCATCCATTAAGACTTAAATACAGGGGGGGGCAAAAAAGACATTTTGCCAGGTCGCACTTCGGCCTTTTTTCTTCGCAGAGATTGCCGTCGTTGACGGAAGTTCCTCAGCAAAATTCCCTAAATGTCCCTCTATAAGTACACGCTCCTTCACTACCCTCACCGTCTTCAGAATATGACGTCATCTGTCACCGTCGTCGAGCTCAGGGAGGCCTACAGTAACTGCTTCAGCCTGAAGCTCTTACATAATTTCTTGGATCGATTCAACGTGGGATAGTTTCCTAGGGACATTAGCTCTAACTATGCAAACCCCCTCGGAACCCGCCCTTCGGAACCCGTCGTAACGGTACACGATCAGTCGAGAACCCCATTGAGCTCGACCAGAGCACCATGTTTCCGGGGCAAACTTTTCTGATGCCGTCCACGTAGATGGCCACTATGAAGATTTTCTTATGAAATGAAATGCGCTCTTCAATTCTAAGTTGGGAGCACACGCTTTGAGCTGAGCAAAGTGTGATTAAATCCATTTGAGTCTGGAGAAAATGTCCTTTTTATTGCCCCCCCCGTATATTAGGCACCCGGAAAACTCAGTATTGTTTTTTGGACTTTCATGTTTTAGATCTTGAAATTTTTCTAAATATTAGGTCGGTCCATAATTTTTGAGAACCTTTGGTGTTTTTCGATTTAATTACTTATCTTATTTCTCTGATGTACTTATTCAGCATAGTATACATCACCATTATTACCAACATATCACCAATGCGAGGGTGGGTATTCAGTGTCTCTCTTGTAGAATTTCATAGAGTTCTGATCGAAGAAATATTGGATGTCGATTTTGACTTTATGGTGATTCAAGTGAGATTTCTTCTCCAGAAGGTGATTGAGAGAGGAGAGCGGATAGTCGTTCGTTGACGCAGGATTAGTGCTAGGCTAAAAGAACTGACCGCCCGAGAGTCTCCAATTTTTTAGGAATTTTCTTAGCAAGGCGGGCTCGAACGACCTCAGAAAAAAATAGATTTTGTCTTCCTTTGCTTTCAAGTTGAAGGCGTTGCCATCAAGCTGTCAACGATTCTTCCCATCACTGACACTGGTATTAGTTGATGCCGGTCTTCAGCGCAAAGGCCCTCCCGTATTGCGCCAACGACTCAGGAAGTTCGAATTCAGAGGGAGTTGGGTTTTTACTGTCAGAACTCCCGAATCGTTTAAGCAAATCTACTGCGGCTCGTGGATTTGTTAGCACACTGCACCCAGTCCACATCACCAATGAGTATTATAGATGGTCATCCGAAGGAACTATGGGAAACCAACAGGAACTTGATGATGTCAGATTGGGTTGAGAACTGATTCGGGACTACAATTTTCCTTCGATCAGAACTCTATGAAAGTCCACAAGAGAGGCACTGAATACCCACCCTCGCATTGGTGATATGTTGTTAATAATAATGATGTATACTATGCTGGATAAGTAGATCAGAGAAATAAGATAAGTAATAAATCGAAAAACACCAAAGGTTCTCAAAAATTGTGGACCGACCTAATATTTGAGTGCACTTGTATATGTCCGTATTTTCTGCTACTGCATATAAGCTTTAAGGTGATGAGTTGCTTTTAAGAGCTCCTGCAGTCAGTAATCCTTCGGCCGCAGGATCGAAATCTTCAGCTATGTCTTCAGGAGAGGCAAAAGGGCCCGGAATCGAAGAATGTGTTCAAGGTGAGTCAGGCGATAGTAGCCGTGTGGTGTGGAATTCACCAATTGAAAACGTCCTATAGAAAAGTTGTCCAGAAGCAAAAATAGAGAAAAGTGTGGCCTAACAAGGGAGGTCGTTCAGGGTGTGCCAAGCTTTTTCAAAATGGTTTCTTGCATGACATTGGGGCACATGTGGGAACCACAGAACCATGGTTCATTTTTCCTGAACGGCCCTCTGAATACCGTGGTGACAAATTTTTGCATTTCGAGTTGACGTTTCAAAATTCGCGCAAAATGGAGTTAGCATGAATAATTAGTACCATATTCATAATTAGGACCGTCAAACTGGTGGAAAAGTTGTGACACACAGTGGGGCCGTTTTGGTGTCACACCTTTTTCACCAGTTTTTTAATCAAAGTCTATTTGTAAGGGTTACTGACGGTCCTAATCATGAATATGGTACTAATTATTCATGCTAACTCCATTTTGCGCGAATTTTGAAACGTCAACTCGAAATGCAAAAATTTGTCACCACGAGGAATCGAACTAGGGACCCCCTTTTCTGGTATTCAGAGGGCCGTTCAGGAAACCATGGTTCTGTGGTTCCCACATGTGCCCCTATATCATGCAAGAAACCATTTTGAAAAAGCTTGGCACACCCTGAACGACCTCCCTTGTAAATGTCGGTTCCAAACGTTGAAAGGGGCCTGGTAACATTTGGGAGTTTTAGAAGAGAATGCGAATCACAATAGGTTGAGGCATAAGGAGTTCAAAGCGGTTCCTCAAATTTGGTGGATCGAGAGCCACTTACAGTAGGTTGAATTCTTTTCAGGGCTTGATTAGTCTCGCTCCACAACGACCTGCTGTTCCTACCAGCAGTGCTGCAGATTCTCAAGAGGAAAAGCCAGTTAGCGAGGTAATCGTTTGCTCGAAAGCTCACTTCGCTCTTGGTTTCTTGAATTCTTTCGTAAATACTGAGGTGATGTCAATTCTGCGTCTCGAAACGCACAACCAGACGCTAGAGGCTTGTGGCTTGCATTAATGCATATCCCATGCAGAAATTCGCCCCATCCGTTGCAAATGCATTGATGTCTGCGTCTCACCCGCCCCTATGTCTCTCGCCTCCGAGTTCGTTCTAGCCTCAACTCCTATTCATCTTAGACTGTCTGTTTAGTAGACTCGTTTACGGCCAGCGGAATCGAGGTCCTTTTTCTATTTTTTGGTGGGTTCTTTTCGTTTTCCCCGGAGTAGACTTTATTCACCCGTACTAGTTTATGTTTAAATTCGGTTCCCCTTTGCTATCTCCTGATTTTCCCTCAAGAGTGTTTTTTTTTTCAAATAGGTGATTGAACAACTGTAGAATTGGCTGTTATCTGTCTGTAAGTACCTGTTTTGTGTGAACGGGTGGTGTAGCGAGAAGGGGACCCTCACTACGTGTACGATGCGGAGATCAGTTTCTGGATGGAGCGCCGTTCCAGACTAACCAAGCCGTTCATCGCTTAGGGGGCTGATTGGTACTGGAATCGTCTGAAAAGGTCGGAACATTCAAATCCGCTAGAATCTTCTTGTTATTGCTGGTTGATATCTTCTTAACTCTTCACGAGGTAGACAAATGATAAGATATCAACCAGCGCCATCATACCGATGGTTCATCCAAGGCCGTACATGGAGACCCCTTGTTACTGTGTTGGCGAATCGCATTCAAAATACCACTACAATTCTGAATAGAAGTAGTGCATCTCAAAAAGGGGCTAACTAGGGCCAAGGGCTTTATCCTCCTTGTTATCTGTTCTGCATTGAAAATATGATTTTCTACAGGTGATGAAGAAGCTTCGCGAAGCTTTGGAACGTCTCAAAGTTCGTGTGTCAGAAGGAGAATTTGAATATGAAGAGCAAGTTGGAGTGCATGGTGAACGTTTAATGCCGATGACTACCTCAAAGACGTAAGTTAGATAGTTTATTGTTTATAGTACCCGTGATAGTACCCGTGCAACACCTTTTACTTAGCAGTGCAGCTTCATTGTTTCGCTTAATCATTAAATTTTTAACCCTCTGCGTTTTAGATACATAAGTACCCATAAGTTCAAAGTGTCTGAAGCGGACAAAGTGGCGATCAGGCCGACATATGAGAAATATCGTTATGAGACCCCGGGAGACGATGTGTATGATGACGAGTATGATGACGGCTATGAACAGAAGGAGTTCACCGTAGAGCCACTAAAGTGAGTACCGCAAATTTTTATTGTTCATTAGATAAGTTTTTGTAACTATGAGTAATCAGTTGAACGGAATGTGAATAAAAGATCCCGGATGTTTGACAAAGGGTCGGCTTTTGCAATAGAGCCCTTATACTTTATTTATATGTGTGGACCTGAACACTGTGACGTTGAACGAAATTATATTGATCGTTGTTATGTTCGTTTTGTTGATTTTTGTTTAATCGGTTCTGTGTTTATAGAGGTTTCATCTTGCTCGTTATTTTTGATCATTATTTATACGATTCTGCGGGTGAGTTCATCTCCTTGTTTTCGGTAATTCGGAAAGCCATAGTCGTGGAGGCAAATGTTGTGCACTGCGACGGTCACAAAAAATTAAGTGATCTTTGCTTTTTTCATACTTTATGATGGTATTTGAATACGCCGGCTCCCCTCCTGGGGTGTTTGCAATCTGCAATTATCGACAAGTCTTCGCTGGCAAACAAAAGTGAACTCACGTTCTTCTGGTGCGGAATATATTTTTCAATAAATCTCTTAACATCATTGTTTAAATTTAGCGCGCAAATTGCATCGAAGAAGTGAAGGGGAATCGACAGATGAGCGTAGCAGGAGACGCGGGACAACCAGAGGAGGGTGGCGAGGAGGCGACAGTACAGAAATATACCGCGCACCGCTATACTTCTGCAGTAGCAGTAAGCAATGAATCTGCCCCAATGTGCTTTCTGTACCGTGTCTCAGTGCAGTAAGAAAATTAGAGAGTTTAGACCTGAATGTCATGCGTAAGTACACCCATTTCGTCCAGTTCAACTGAATGTGATATCGGATGAAATTATTCTAAACCTTTGTATTTTTTCATATTTCCATTCTTTTCTCTAGGCCAAAAAGTGCAGCACATGTTGGCCACAGCAATAGCGGTACTGGTTGGGTTTTTGGAGGGAGGAGGGGTCGAATCCGATTCGTCTTTTGCCCTGAACACCGAACTGCCTCGAAGCTGGTGGTAACTGGTATCAGACTCGTTGGAGATTAACACACTTGACTTGTTACAACGGGCTGGCTTGCGACTCTTTGTTTATTATTACATAGAAAATGCCGTGGCGCATACTCTAAAAAGGAAGACTTTTTGCCGATAGCTGATAGGTTTTTGAATATTGTCCCCCGTCATTCACCGGTGGGATATCTCCGGTATGAGCATAACTAATTGTATTTAGGTGGACAAGTAACAAACGCCAAGAATGCTAGTGATACCGGAGCAGGTGTAGGAGGTAAGAATTTCAAAGATCCTTCTTGATCAGGCGTTTTTTATTACTCGACTGTTCTAGAGAACACTTCGCGTGGCTCCTCCTACACTGGTGGTCGACAACGCCAAATGAAGGAGCGTCACAAAAATGGTTCTAAGCAACGACAGCTGACCGAAAAATTTTTCATACTAGCTGCTATTGAAGGTTTTTGTTATAATTCTGTGAATAATTTTACTACAATATCCGATTATAGATTACTATGTTTGAAATCAAAAGTACGAGTTGTGAAGTCTGCAGTCTGGAGCTATCCGATCAGCCCATGATTCATTGTAGGCTGTTGCAGCACTATGCGGTATACGAGGACGTCTCTTAGACTAAAGCTAGGGGCAAGGCGGGAAAGCTTCAGGGAAAGTGAAAACGGTTTCACGCAGTGGGTTAGTCTCTCTCCCCCAGTAAGGCTTGTCTTGTTTCAATAAAAAAACATGTCTTGCGCGGGTTTGAAAGGCATTTTCATCTATGCTCTGTATTCTAATTGCCGACTAGCGCCTACGTTTCTCCGAAAGCAGTTTGGTATACGCCGTGCACATAAAGCTGCGCGACAATTGGTGGTCATAAAGACGGTGCGCAGTTCGGTCGCGTTGTGTCGCGCGCGGCCATTGTGGGTGTTGGCGACGTGCTACCATGTTTCAGTGAGAAAGAGCTTATAGGACCTCTTCACGTACATTCCTCGTCTTTCCAATTCATAGAATAAATAGAGAAATGTCTGATTAGCCATCAGATGGATATCACTTTATTTCAACAAATTCTTTGTGCCTGTTTTGTTTACTGAAACCTTTCGATACTCGATAAAATAGAATGTATACATAAAATAGAATATACGATTTGTAAACCAACACAACACCAAAAAAACTCACTCACGAATAGAACTGTGAAAGCAAAAAAGAAAACAAATATATGGAAATGAAGGAAAACTCGCAAGGTAAATCACACGGAAGAAAAAATGAGCATGACGATTGGGTATTTTAATTGTCGGAGCTTTTGACCGCTAGTGTTAATCACCGCAGTTTGGGCACTGTGCTTCAGGAACTAGTTGTCGCTGTCAGCTTAGGCAACGGGGAGTTAGCATGGGACCTCCGAAGGAGACTAGATGGTCATACAACCAGGGAGCTCAGGGTACCCGATCAAGGAGTAAATAGTGCCTTTATTAAGAAATGGGATGATATTGGAGCGAGGAGTGAAAAAAGGGATTTCAGCGGTGTTACAGGAAGGAATCTTTAATACTGTCTAGGGCATCTACCGCCGAAACCACTATTAGCTCTCTTTATGGCAGAACGGCGACGTCCGATGAGTAGGACCCTGTTACTGGGCGGGACTCACAAACAAATAAGGCGAGGAGAGAAAAGGTCACACGCAAGGTGTGGGTCAGGAGATTCAAGTCGCGGCGGCGCGCCCAAGTTAGGTCACCGCATTGCGGCGGCGCGACTAGGTCATGGCAATGAGCGCCTATGCCACGTGCGACGCTACAATGGGGGCTTCCTGACCCACACCAGTTACAGGCCTGACAAGTCTATGTTTGATTCAGATGTTCAACAAAAAAATGTATGTGAAAAGAGTCCCAGCTATGAAATTTATTATAAAAATCATGAATTATGCTGATTTTGGGGCATATTTCTGTGCTGGTGATGCACAGTGAGTGATTTTTGTGTAACCTTCATAGCTTCATATGTATACATAGTATTATGTATCAATAGGTATCAAACTTGAAGTTCATGCGATTGGATCGCCATTTGGACTCATCCGTGTTGGAAGACCTGCAACAGGGGATAATTAAGCTGTCTTAAAAGAAATTCCTTAAACGACCAATGCTACGTATTTACACTAGGAAATTCCGACGTAGTCGACGTGAATGCTATTTTCGTTACCATATTTGATTCGATACGCTTCAAGTTCGCGTTCTCGTTGCTCTGTGCGAAGTGAGTGACGATTTTGCATTTCCGCACGCTTTAGTTCTTGTTGCTGAAATCCACAAAAATGAGTTCTTTTAATAGTAGCGTTGAACAAAAATTGAGTGAAAAGAGGAAGATTTTTTCGCCGGCTATGGATTTGTTCAGTGTGGTTAAGTTGCCTAAGTAACCATGAAAGTGATGTACTGCTCGCTTAAAGGAGGAATTCACGATTAGAATGAAGGTCGAAGTTGAGGGACCCACGGACCTCCTGAGGGTGCGAACTGACGCGCAATTCGCATGGAAAAATTTGACCTCGGCGACCTATCATGCCTCAAAGCTGGCGGGTCCGGCGATCTCCGCCCACCGATCATCTGATCACTCGCCGTAGTTCAATACGTGGCGAGTGATTAGATAGCTGAGAGAGCGCGTGTGTGAAGAGGGCACAGCGATGAGAGTCGCATCAATGCTCGAATCAACGGGCAAGGAAGAGGGGTTCCCTCGTTCTGTCTGGCCGTTTCTCATGGTTCTTCCTTCTTTCGTGTATCACTCACCATCCCTAGATTAATTTGAAATGGGTTGTTTTTTCAATCGGGAATATCGTCGCTTTAAAGGGAAGCGATTAACCAAAAGAGGAGGCATTCGCGGGAAGTAATGAACACAACGAACCGATTACTTGGCTGGCCAAGGGGAGTCAGTTTGTGGCGCCTTTTTACGACGAACTGGCTTCATGCTTGATGACAGTGCTTGAGAAGTGACACGCCCCGCAAGTGTTCCACCCACTGGCTTAGTTGGTGCTGTGTCGTCAACAGCAACACAAATGGAGTAACTCGACTGGAGCATAGTTCGGCATTCGCTGCAATCAAAGTCCGTTCCTAGCGCGCTTCCGTCTTAACGGCTACCCGTCCTACCCGAATGTTTTAACGTCGAACCAGGACGCCTCCTTTTGCCGCGTTTCATGACAGATTTTTCTTCTTTTTTGCACCACTGGCGTACCATAGAGCACCCCACGTTTCCTATAAGTTCCTTTGAAACCTATCGTAATCGCTGCCTTCAAGGATAGTTCCCCGGATAAAAGTGGTGTGTAAAAGCGCAAGTGATGAAGGGATAAGAGTGGGCGACAAGATTGAAGGCACGATATGCGAAGACAACCAAGGAGAACCTCGAAAAAATGAGGACGCAGCTTTTCCTGATTATCAGATGTGGTACGATAAAGAAGTTAGAGCGAACAGAGAATTCAGAAACGCCGGGAGCCAGGCCTGTACGAATAGGGCCAGGGAAGGGCTGCTGTAGACGACCTCCAACACAACTACCTCCAACGGCGGGCTTGATAGGACTTAACGCCTTGCCGCGCTTCCTAACCAGTGTCCATTGCGCTCGGCTGACCGTTTCGCAAGAAGTCTATTTCTACTATCAAAGAGTAGTCTCCCAATGGTGCGTCCCGTTATTTTGGATATGTCTGCCTGATTAGGTCAAGAACAGACTGTTCGTGATAGGTCTGTGTCAGTGAGCCCAGAACTTTATCTGCCTTACTGTCTTCCTCTGCTTTCATGGGGCTAAGGGAGTTGTGGAGTGGGGGTGGGGGCAGAACAGAAGGCGAACCATTTTACATCGTACTCATTTACCAAGGTCCACTTGACGATTTCAGGTTCGGGTCGTGTCATTCCAGCAGCTGAGAGAACAGCTTCTCTGCTTTATCTTATTTTTCATCTCTTATCTCCTACTTTTCCATTCTATTCAAAATTGATTCCGAACTGAAAATCTGTCTGATGTCGTTGGTCTTGATTATGTGACGCAGCTGGTGTGCATTTGAATAAATAAATGAATAAAAAGGAACTAATTGATTTCATTCGTTTCGGCCGGCATAATTTCCATGGAAACTCAGAAAATTCTCTGAAGCCCCCTTGTTGCGGCGCCTATTCAAAATGACGGTTCGCGGAGAAGATGCATACTTTCTGTTTGGATTTCTGTTCACATTTTCTGTGACGCTAGGAAAGCTCTTTATCGTCTTCTGAGACGAACCATTGTGCTTTTAATGGATACGATTTATTGAACGTTTCACTGTTCATATCTCAAAACATGTCAGGAGGGCAGGGAGGATAGTATGATCCGTCACATGCCGTGATCCTAATACATTGTTGTCATTAGCTACACTTCTCAATAAACTTGGAAGAAAGGACCTAGTTGTGGCGTCGAAGTGTTTGGCTGATGTCAGAGTCCGCGATCCTTTGCGCGATTTTCGCGATTTGCGCGATTTTCGCGATTTTTGCGATTTTCGCGAAACCTGCGATGGATCACAGGAGTTGGAAGTGCCCGATGAATACTGCGAGGTGTTGTTTAATCCTGCTGCGAATTCTGCTTGGCAGTAAAGATTGGAAGACGAATGTTTGTGGTTCTACTTGTTTCATGTTCAATGTCTATTAGTTCATTGAAATGCTCTTGAATCGTTCCTATTTTTTTCAGGAATCAAACCAAACCAATCACAAAAATTGCAAGTGCCCCATTTGAACAATTGAAACACTGGATATGAAACAAGTGGAATCATGAGCAGTCTCCATTAAACCATAACCATCAAGCAGAAGTGACGGCGGGATTGGAGAACACCTTGCAGTATGGATGGGCACTTGTAATTTCCGTGACCCGTCGCGCAAATCGCGAAAATCGCCAGAAATCGCGCAAATCGAATCTGCGGACTCTGACGACTCGCCTTTGACAGGCATTCGCTGTCGCACGCCATGCTGCGACCCGACTGTGATTGGTGAATCACACATTCGTAATTGCTGCCAGCGAGCAGGTTAGGCCAGATACGAAGATGTGAGGGGGTTGGACGTAGTATGCCTCTGACATATCGCAGGATGTGTACACAGGGTTCTCCAGGTTTATCTCGATTTTTTGTTTGAGACGCCTCTCGGCCAAACCTGGGCCGGGCCTGTTTGACATTCAACGTTTGACACTTTCACGGCTACATTGTTCGCAATGTTTGCTTACTCGACAAATTCCCTTCCCTCCCCTTTTTCCCCCCCCCCCCCCCCCCCCCCCCCCCCCCCCCCCCCCCCCCCCCCCCCCCCCCCCCCCCCCCCCCCCCCCCCCCCCCCCCCCCCCCCCCCCCCCCCCCCCCCCCCCCCCCCCCCCCCCCCCCCCCCCCCCCCCCCCCCCCCCCCCCCCCCCCCCCCCCCCCCCCCCCCCCCCCCCCCCCCCCCCCCCCCCCCCCCCCCCCCCCCCCCCCCCCCCCCCCCCCCCCCCCCCCCCCCCCCCCCCCCCCCCCCCCCCCCCCCCCCACACACCCGCCCCACCCGCACACACACACACCACAACACACACCCAAAACCTAGTAATATTCCGGAAATGACGCTGAGCACAACGATCACGGCTGAGATATTCACTGAAAAATACATACAATACGACAAAATGCACACAATAAAAATTGCGGTCTATAAACACAAGTGTGACATTAGGTCTTGTTTTAGGCCGCAGAAGCGTCCACCAGTACTGCACTATGAGCCGCTCTTCTGTTGACAAGGGGATGGACAGTCGCAATGATGATGAGCGGGGATTACAGCACCCACATTTAGCTCCAAGAATCGCTGAGGGCTGCAGCACAGTACACGGTGAGCGAGCATTTTTGGTTCGTGGAAAGGTAAAGTGTCCAGGTCGCATCTATGGAGTCTAATCCATTTTTTTGATTTGCTATGTTATTGGTCCTGCCTGCAGTACCCTCCTCCCTCACAGACTCTAAGACACGTCCCTATTCCCCAGACACGACTGAACTTTCTGACGCCTGGAATAGCGGCCAAACAACAAAAGAGCGCTAACAAGGGAAGCCTTTCAGGACATGGAGCTTTTTTGAAATGGTTTTCTGCATGTTGTAGGGGCTCATGCGAGGAACACAGAACCATGATCCATTTTTCCTGAACGCCTCCAGGAATGTCAAAACAGTGGTGAAGAAATGGTCCAGAGTTCGATCCCCGGTGATGACTAATTTTTGCAATATAGTTTGGCGCCCCCAGATTGCCGCCAAATGGCGCCATCGTCGAGAATAGATGTCATTGTCGTGTTTTGCGGCAATTTGGAGGCGCCAACATGAATTGCAAAAATTTGTCATCACGGAGGATCGAACTTTGGACCATTTCTTCCCCGCTGTTTTGACATTCCTGGGGCGTTCAGGAAAAATGGACCAAAGGTTTTGTGTTCCCTACAACAATCAGAAAACTGTTTTGGAAAAGCGCTCCATGTCCTGAAAGATCTCCCTTGTAAGACCACCGTTGCAACTATTCAGCTAACTGCTGAATTAACCGGACCAAGAGCAAATACCTTGTAGTCTATGAAGGGCAATGTCTCCTTGCCAGTTGAAAGAAAACATGAGAACACTCACCCCAACATTTGTTATGCCTGACGTCATTGAGCTCACATCCCGGAAAATACCAAGCGTACGGCAGACAACGTTCAGTGGTCCCACCACAGTAGAAACACTCCTGAATTTGAAGTTTAGGGCTTCACAAAAAGTTTCATCTCTATTGAACTACTTGGGTCATCTGGAACCTGAAAAGTGGGCAGGCTGTTGGGAGCGAGTTTGCGCTGACAAAAATTTTCTTCAATGTCCTGTCTCCTAGCGTTCGCATCCTAGTGTTCCAGGGTGAATATCGGTCGAGGAAAAGGTTCGAGAAAAGGTCGATGAATCGACCGCTGATCGAGGCTGTTGTAATTTTGCTCTGTTTTAAGGGGGTTCGTGCCAAGTCGATCTGAGGAGGGAGTCGTATTTCTACGACCACGTCCTCGACACGATTCTCACCCTGTAGTGTTCCGCCTTGGCTCTCGGTGCGAATTCTACTTATTTAGATCTGGGCTTATTCCTCATGTGCTGTTTGCATCTTGTAGGACTGAAGGTTTCGTATTTGAAGCCTAGTCCACCTTGAACTTACAGGCGTGGTTAACTGAACGGCCAATGTCATTAGTTTGCGAATCGAGCGATTCGCTAGCGATTCGCTCGATCCGAGCGTTGTGCCAGCGAGTCGACGATGTACAAGCGAGTCGAACTAGGTACCAGCGACTCAATAGTGGCGGGACCCAACTTTCAAAGGAAGTGGCCACTTTCAAACAGCGTCCACTGTCACGTGACACTGTTTGAATGTGGCGGGCTTCCTTTGAAAGTTGGGTCCCGCCACTATTGAGTCGCTGGTACCTAGTTCGACTCGCTGGTACATCGTTCGACTCGCTGGCACAAAGTTCGATTCGCTGGTTAACACGCCTCGCAATTCGCACATGACATCCTCAACGCTGCACCCTTTTCTGCGCTCCCTTTGATATGGCAGAGGTATGATGCACCACTGGGAAACTGGGCTATATGCCTCTGTTCATCGATCAGCGTTAATTGTTATTCAACCCAGGATAGTTCATCTGTACTGGAACAGTACCCACTTTGCCAGCATCATGACACCACCGATGCTTTTTTGACCAATCTCGCAGTGTGTGATTACCGGTTGCGAATTCCATTTTTCTAGTTCGTTTCGTGAATGAATTCGCCCGAGTCCACAAGGCTAGACAGTGGCTTGAGCCTGACATAGGTTCCTAGAATAGCAGAATCTTATAGACCATTTACGTCGTGACGATGTGATACATGGGCCGCGTGAAGAATTCTACGAGTCCTGAACGAATGAGTGAGAAATTGGAGCAGAAAAATGCCGTGAAGTTTAGACGGACCGCACTAAACACGAAATGCTTCGAAATTCCTATGGAATTTTGAAAAGAAACCTAGGCTATCGACAGTCTTGAACACTGCTTACAATATAAACGCTAAAACTGCTACATGGTTTTTCTGAGAAAGCTGTGAACCTTCAAAGATGACAAAAACGCTGACGCGGAGAGCCTGAGAGAGCTCAGGCTCTCCGCGTCAACGTTCGTGGCTGAGATCACGATCGTCGTGAAACAGATTAGGCTTTAGTGTGAGGCAATAAGTTAATGTTTACTGCTTGTGATGCGCGCTTCTGACCGTTACTTCTGATTCCAGATCGAATGTTCTTTTACGTAATGGGTCATCATGCCAAAGGAGGTACTTTTCGTGATTTTAGGATTCACGTTATCTCTTATTGTAAGTTATGTTGTAGCTATAGAAAAATAGTCCCGATAGTAGATCTTTTGCAATTAACCCTCCGCCCAGGAAAACAATTGCAATTTGTGATCACGTAATTAAAACTCTTATCGCGGAATCACTTCGATTCACTGATTTATCTTTGATGGTGGAACCGTATTGACATCCCGAGGCTTATCGTGATCGCGCGCCAAAAGAGTGATATAAAAGGAGCGAGAAAAGGCCGAGAGCCCAGTTTTCTCTAGTTCCTTTCTCTCTAATAATTCCGGCGATTCTGCGATTCTGCGACACTGCAACACCGCAAGTACCCTAAGCGCCACTGCGACTATGCGATTACGGTATCACTGTTGCTGTCATCGGCCTCATTATTCCTGTCACGATAGTCTAGTCTCATTGTCTCATTATTGCTATCATCACTATTGTATCTAGCATATTTGTTGTCACTATTGTAACCACCTTCCTCTCATTGTGATAAGAATACTCCTTTGCGATAACGATCCTTTGATATACTGATCAATCTTCACGTTTTGACTTCTTGTTGTAGTTCACATCATTGTTTCGTTACTTGTTCTGTTTGTCACTTGTTTATTTCTTAGTAAACGTTTAATTACCCAAGTTTGAGGTTGCAAACTACAAGCCCGCGTGGCACTACACACAAACAAAGGGTTCGATCACCCCAACCCATTTCATGGTGCATCGGCTCCAAATAAGGACCCGACAGAAGGACGAGTTACAGGTACGATTTCACCAAAAACGTTCAGCGAACTCGCGAATATTTCGGCGAAGTTTTTGCGATACCTACTCTTCCTTTATTTGAAAAATGAAGGGTATTACCCAGCTGAAGGTGCAGAAAATATTATTGACGCGAAACTGCAACAATTTAGACCAACGTGTTGCAAAAATCTCAAGCGAGATCCAGTCAGATCGAGCCCTAACCCAGCAAGTCCTTGTTGAAATGGATGCGGAACTGAACGCATCAATGAACAGGGTCTCAAAAACGCTACGTGACTTCACGGATGCGGTGGACCAGCAAGAAGAACCGTCAACTAGCGAACAAGAAACTCAAATAGAGGATTATATTGCGAGAACTATCACAACACTCGAAGCTGCAGAACAGCTGAAAATACAAATTGAAGTTAAAAGAGCTTCAATAATAACAGCAACAACAGCCTCTTCCCACAGCGAACCTGCTCCAAGAGAAATTCCATGTGCGAAAGTGGAGCTTCCAGCTATTCAAATCCCTACTTTCACGGGAAGAATCAAGGATTTCGAGAACTTTTGGGCACTTTTTAGTGCCAATGTTCACCAGCAGAACCTCTCAAATCTTCAAAAATTCAATTATCTTCTGCTCAGCCTAAAAGGAGATGCAAAGGAAGCGATCAAACGCTACCCCGTCACGGACGAGAATTATGAAGCCGCAGTAAAGGCGCTCAAATCCAAATTTGGGGACAAGTCAAAACTGATATATGACCTGCAGACCAGGTTAGAGAGGGCCAAAGCGAGAGGCCCAAGCATCGAAGACCAGAGGCAACTGTTGGACTACATAATCTCAATAACCACCCAGCTGGAGTTCAAAAAAGTAGACCTTAATGGGTCCTTTTTTGCTCGGAAGATCCTTTCAAAATTCAATCAGAAGCTTCAGAGAAGAGCATTAAGGATACGCCTGAGTTCGGCTCACACAGAAGAGGACTGGTTACTGAAAGATATCCTCGCAGACCTCGACAGTGTCATCACAATGGAAGAAAACGTGACAACAATGCTGCGCCAGAGCGATTGTTTCCAATGCAACAATGAACCGAACAGATCGATTACAATAAAAGAGGACAAAAAGGAAAGAAACCCAACAAATCAGTTCGCACGGTCTACTTGCATCTATTGCGACATGGCGAACCACTTATCAGCAGCATGCCAGAAAGTCGACACAATCAAGAAAAGAACAGAATTCTTACTACGAAATAAGCGATGTCTCAATTGTGTCAAACCAGGACACCACTTAAAGGAATGCACTAGCCGAGGCTGCAACATATGCGAAGGAAAAAAGCATCACTCCTCCTTATGTCCGAAACGGCAAGGTGCGAAAATGCCAGTGGAAATAACCCCACAAAGAAAAAACAACATGCAACAACATACAACTGCACCAGGCGTCGCCCATCAAAAATGTGTATATGAAGATAGGACACAAGTTAATCGACAAAACTTGGCTACCACCGCAGAAAATGAGGAAACACCAACTGAAGACGAAGAGGATACCTCAACTCTCAATGTGTCCAACCATCAGAATTCTAATCAATATGGAAAGGTTCTCTTACTCACTGGTACTGCGACCGTAGCAAACCAAGAAACAGGACAGACCAAACAAGTTCGATTCCTTCTGGATACGGGCGCAGACCGATCATTTATCGATCGCAAATAGCCGAAGAACTCAATCTACAAACGATGGATACAGTGGACCTATCAGTCTACACATTTGGATCGAGCATTCCGAAAAAGGAAAAGTATGAAGTTACATCCTTGGAAGTGCTAGACTCAGAAGGGAACCCACATCAGGTTATTCTGTACAAAACGGACGTCATAACCGAAAAGGCGAAGAAAGTTAGCCTCACGCCTCAAGACGCGGAATACCTACGAACTAAGAACATCACCCCTCCAGAAGCTACGGAGACTCTAGTAAACCTCCAGCTTCTTCTAGGCTGCGACCAATTGTGGCCTTTCCTGCACACATCTGATCCTCAATATATCCTTCCTTCAGTATTATTCGCAGTACCATCCAAATTGGGGTACCTACTCAGCGGAAGTCAAGAGCGAAGTGATGCGAGCAGGCAATATCAGAAACAACAAAAGGCAATTCAAAACATTGCAACCTCAGAAGAAATACCAGTATCGGACGAAGATCAATGGGACACATACTGGTCCCTAGATTCCGCTGGTATCGAAGAATTCACA